TTGTGTAGATCACCGGAAATTTTTCGGAAAATAAACTTGCCCCTTGATTTTTAGGACATGTCACACGACTAGTATTACCAAGAATTTCAGGGATCAAAGTTTGGTCATTTGTAATGTGATCATAATTAACAGTTTATAATATCCCATTTATTATTTTGATATATAGAACTACTCCATGTAAAAATAATAATGTGAAACTCATTTACATCAGATCTATTATGGGAAACCGTTTAGATATTTCAACCACTTAGTTCTCCATAAATAACTAAGTCTTCCCGCCTAGATCTTTCCAAAAAATAATAATTCCGCTTAGAATTAACTAAGACTTTCTGCTGGCCAGTCTTCCAAAAAATATAAGCATTTACAAATCTGTCGGGCATCCCTGTTGGATGAAGAATAATTATTTAATTAAAGGTAAGAATTGTTTTGTTCACTTGATATACCCGTAAGGTTAGAATTAAGAGTGTGTATTTATTTATTTATTATTATTAGTCTTCTAATATATATATAATTAAAATTAAATTGATATATAAACTACTGTATATACGAGATTTTTTTGTAAATTATGTTTTTTTTGAATGCACAAAAAATCAAACTTCGAAATAATACTTTAAAATCTTCATCAATATTTCATTTGGCAAACTTATAACAAATCTATCTGCATCCATACTAATTTCATGATTATCTTCATTCTCATTTAGAACGTATTCCCAATGTGTAAGATTTCCCATCAAGCTTCTTAATTCCTTTACTTTTACTGTTACAAAAACCATAAACTCACCTTCAAACTTTCTAATCCAAACTGACGAACAGTCCGATCTTAATAAATACCTATTTTCAAATATGTAAAAACGTTCAAAACTAAGAATCTTTTTTAAGTTATTAAAAATTGATTTTCGCTTTTCCTAAAATTTTTTGCCACAACTAAATTAATATCTTCAGGTTTATTTTTAATACGTCTAATTTCACCAACAAAAACATTTTGTTCTTCTTCTTCCTCACTATCTTTCCTCATTTTCTTTATGACTTTTTTATCTTTACTACTACCATTCCTAATATTAAGTAAACATAAAAACCAAAATGTTAATTAGAACTAGAGTAACTACGAGTGGCGGGCGATAACCACCACCACCATCCTTAAAAACACTTACCCTTTTTCTTCTTTTTCTTGTCGTGAAAGACTTTTTTTTTTGAGAGAAAAAAAATAAAAGAAGTTTGTTATTTGATCGACGCGTACACATTGATTATTTATCCTATTGGTAATTTTTTTGGTATATAGGACAGACGCGAATTGATATTTTTTTTTTTTGGATTTTTTGACAAAGTCCAAGGTGACAAAACGTGAGTGTTATTGTTTGGTTTGGTTTGGCTTGGGTCTCTTAAAGAATACGTGTTAATAACTAACCAGAGGTACTACTTTTTACTTGTATTGAAATGTATGAGGTGTCTTTTATTTTAGCTTATAAATATTTTAATTGGAATCAAAACGCGGAGCAGATCTTGCTGGGTAATTACAAGATTTCATTGATAATATTTTGCTTTGCGTAATCGTCAATAATATTAATATTACTATATAATTACAAGAAGATGTCAAGGCAATACACCATTGAATATGAAACATTTTGAATATGCAATGTTTGATTATCGGAAATTGGCAGGTGTTGAAGCACGCACGCTACCTTGAACATTTTACAGTCATTTTCTCATCTTCCTCGTGTACACAAGGCTAATCTGACTTGATCCCCCGATGATACAATGATGCTACCGAATTCCAGGGGGCGGGTAGCAATGCCCTGGAGTTTACCGAGACTGCATCAATCGTCAAGGACGCTTTTCACTAAATCTTCCCAGATCAGGGATGTCCACTGGCATGCTAGCCAAAAAGTTGACTGCAACGATCCCACCTCTAGGTAAGGATGGCTCTGTGGTCAAGTTGCAACTCTGCAGATGAATTGTAGTGCCACGTAAATATCCACCATCCATCATTATTTTTTCCTGGACTAATTATGATACGAGCTTCATGTGGCATGTTATCACTTACCTCTAGT